ACCACAGATAAAATCAGTAAAATTCTCCACAAACACAGTATCAGGACAGCCTTTGGCACTGACCAAAAAAGTAGCCATGACCACCAAGCCACCCAAACACTATTGACAGTCCCTTCCAGCTTTATAATTCTATGAACTTCTTGCCATGTTTTTCCTAACTATAACACATCTGAATAGAGCATTTCCAGAGAATGAAAGATGACTCAACTTCCCTATGCTCCAGCACTAACCATACTTGCAAGAACATATTCCAGGAAATGTTTCTTTGCTTAGCAAAAATAGTATTATGTTTGTGCCAACCAATAACCAATATTTAACTATGCCCACTATTAAAAAAAATGCCCATGTGAACAAACTAGAGGTTTGAGAGAAAACTGAAGTGTAACAGCCTTGAAAATACAGCAAATAAAAGGCAATTCATGGTTGATATTTATCCTTGCTGGCAGTTAGTCAATAGAATCCATTCTTTTATTAATAATATAAGCTGTGCCAAGTACTTGCTAATAGATCATACTTACTGACCAAATACATAATAACATTATTTATTTTTGTTTAATTATTTCCTACCCCTACAGCACTACCTATCTGCATTTCTCTCTTTCATGTAAATGGTGGAAGGGATCTGTTTGAAATAAGGAATTTAGTTCATTTTTCCAAATAAGCTGAAAACTGCTACACATCAACTTTTAAAATATAGCTTTAAAAAAATTTAAAGAGACCCCTCCCTCAGCATCCGAGATCTCAATGTGTCCAATTATTATGGGTTTTGAAAGTTACCTAAGATTCACAGTCAACCATTTGGTGAGTTTGGTCAGGTCGAATTCTTATCTGTTTGAACTGTCCATGGGATTCAGGGACAAGCCTCCACAAAAGTCCTTCTCATGGCCAATTCAATTCAGAAAACACTGAGTTGGATCCCGGATATCGAATCCAATTGGGCTTGGGATGGTAATTGCTTTTATACCGGAACTTCAACTAAAAGGTGGATTTGAGCAAAGCACCTTGGAATGAATCTCACAAGAAGAGCTTGTTATGATCTTAGTGTATATCACTCTCAGCTGGGCCAAAAACATGACTCCCACAACCGTCCTTAAGAGAAATGCCAGCAAAAAATGAGATCCTTTGGAGGTAAAATACTCCATGAAGGACAGTTTTAAAGCACATCCTAAAATGTCCTTCATATTCATTATTCCAAGTGTTGTACCACTTCTGAAACTCTTCTTTTGATTTTCAGTTAGTTGACCTTCTGATAGTCAATCCTGCTTTGTACATCTATACTGACGTACCAATGTTCCTTGCATTTTGAGATTCAAACCCTAATAACTAACTGTGATGACCCGGAGTGTAACACAAACGTAACAAAATCTAAAACGTAAATAAATGTCCTTTAATGCCTCCAACTTGGCCCCACTGTTCAATAATTCTCAGTTGAAGATAAAACTTATTCAAAGATAGTTTTCAAAAGAAAGCAATACAGTCCGAACTTAATGAGCAGATAAAGGTGAAATAAAAAACTAAAACAAACTACAATGAAGGAATTTCCACAACGGACCAGGATCAGTAATTACCAACTTCAAGGAGATAACAAGGCACAGTCTGTTGGAAAGACGCCAACCAAGATAACTTCAGCCCAAAATAAAACATGCTTTGCTTCTGGCAATGCTGTGTTTTAACCATCTCTCTTATATACTATTCTCCCCAGCTGCAACCAATGAGGGGGATCATGGCCACTTCCTCTCTCTTAAGCCAAGTTGTTTCCTTCTTGGTTCCTCCCTGTGTGTCCTAGGATGAAGAGGGGATGGGCCTGGTTCTTTCTCTGACTGCTCATCCGGCCTCTGCCCTTTCCCAGCCTCCTCCACAACCTCCGGAGCCACACCTCCACTCCCTGTCACCTTTTCTTCCTCTCCCTCAGAGTCCAACTCTAACAAGGGCATGATACTAACATTCAAATTCCTACCATCTTTTCATCATAAAACAACTAAAGGTAAAAGTTTCCCCTGTCCAGTTGTGTTCAACTCTAGGGAGTAGTGCTCATCTCCGTTTCTTAACTGAGGAAGCTGCCATTGTCTGAAGACATTTCTGTGGTCATATGACTAGCATGACTATACACTGAGGTGCACCGAATGCCTGTTACTTTCCCACTGAAGTGGTACCTATTGATCTACTCGCATTTGCATGCTTTTGAACTGCTCGGTGGGCAGGAGCTGGAGCAAAGAACAGGAGCTCACCCCATTGTGCAGCACTTGGGTCTCAAACCCAGGTGGTCAGCTTCTTTAACTGCTGAGCCATCATACCCCCAACCCCAGTAAAACAACTAGAGAGATCCATTCAGCTGAAATAAGTCCGGTCATTTAGGTTTTTAGATCACCACAAGACCTTGCTGATAAAAACAAACCCTACAGGCATTCCAGTTCATCTCCTTTGTATGACCAACCCTGGGGCCCCTGTTCCCTAAGATCTCTGGCCTTAGAAATTGATTGACAGGCTTCAATTATACCTACACACAAAGGAATTCTACAGCTATGGACCCATTCCTTTCTCTTTTGTTTGTTCGCCACATAAAATGCTCTCTCTCTCTCTCTCTCTCTCTCTCTCTCTCTCTCTCTCTCTCTCACTCACACACACACACACACACACACACTCACACACACACCATTGCTCAGAAACAGCTCCCTGGTTGCTAGCAGAAGCATTTCCTTATTCATCCAGAAAGTTTTAAGATAGCTTCAGCAAGTTATTGTCATAAATCTACAAACTGGGTTGATTGAGAGTAATTACTTTAATAACGGGTGTCATAAGAGGAAAAAGTAAACAGGGGAAGCAGTAAGTGATCCGTGAAGTGTGTGTGATTGAAAGGAAAAAGAAAAGCAACTCAGTGCTCAGACAGTGACTATTCTAAGATTGACGGATTTGAGGACTGGCAAATACTTTTGGAGTGCTACTGAATGTAAACAGGGAGTGTTTATCTGCTCAGAAAGCCTGCCTTACTCCAAATATTTAAACACAGCTCTAGAATTCAGAAGTGTGCTTTGAAATGACTTGTCATAAGAAGTTGAGCCATAAAATAAGAAAAGCTCATATCACCTAACACAGTCAATCTTGTTAAGTTTTAAGAGGTATGGACTTCAACTCCCAGAATTCCTCATGGCTGGCTGGGAAATTCTGAGATTTTAAAGTCTACACCTCTTAAAGTTGACCAGGTTGAGAATACACACTGATCTAACAGATACAAGGCAACTGAAGAGGAAGGAATATAGTTTGAGAAGACTTGACTTAGGCAGAATGAGTAAATCAATCATTCAAATACCCTAATTGCCAATCACCCACAGTCACTGGGTGAGACAGGCAGGGTAAAAATTTAATAAACAAACAAACAGATAAATAAATAAATAAATAAATAAAATTAGGGCTACACCCTGCAATGGCCATCAGGGGCCATACTACATTTCTTCTGAGGAAAGGGCCAATCCACAGCCTGCCATATGTCTCTCTTTGGCGTTTAGCATCCAAATCTAGGCAGATTAATTTCCCCTTTTATGCAAGAGGATAAAAGCAACTCAGCGCAAACACATAAATAGGGCAACTGGGGTCTAACTCACTGCCCACTGAAGCAACCGAACCAAACAGCCTCAGGTGGGGAATTTCCAAAAAAGTTATGGGAGATTTATTGCCCACTCACTCGGTTGGTGTAGGCCAAGAGGAATCTGGGCACTGGGCTTAAGGCAGATTTAAAGTGAGCAAAGGAGCCAATTTGGGGCAATTTAGTCAAGAGCCCAAAAGACATTCATCTCCTTTTGAGCTACTTGCTTTTGAGGTTCCTGGGAGGTTGCTGTGAAATTAGTCACCAAATTCAAAACCATAAATTTAGAGCCTTGTAAAAGGAACTTCACAACTAAAGAACCCATGCATTAAAAAAAAAAAAAAACCAGGCATGGGCATTATAGTTGAAAATTATTAAATAATGGCAGAACACAATCACTTCAAAGGAAGAACTCAACCAAAAAAATAATCTAACTGGGGATAACTTTGCCAACTTTCACATGAAAAAGGAAATCTGGCAAAACATAACACGGGCAGAAAAATAATTATTCCTGAGATTGGATGGAGCCAGTAATCTGAAGAAGCTGGTGTGACTTTTTTTTTCATTCTAGACTCATCTTATTTACATTCAGAAATTTAGGCATAAACCCATTTACGAATGAAACAGATACATGTGTGAAAGTTGCTATAATAATAAGCAAAGCCTTTTGCATAACAAAGCCTGGACATCTAATAACTAACAGAATAAAACTTGTGATTTTTCTGAATGCAAATTCTCCCCAAATGATAAAATAATAAGCATCCTTTTAGTGTAGGAATCCCCCATTTGGTAATACAAAATGTTATTTGGATGTTATACTGTTGGTCAGCATTCTTGCCTACATTCTTGCTTTCTTCTACAGGACAACATGGACTACCAGTGGTCCCTATCCATCAATCGCTCAATCCTAAACTCAATGATTTTCTCAAACATGAATTCAATTATATAGTAGTTCGGCAAACATCTATTAAACCTCTGAGGGCCCTTCATGAATATTCTTTTTTTTTTTCCACCTCCACATATAAAGGGAAATTTAAAAAAATAACCTAGCAATGAAACATTGAAAACAACTTCTACCTCTAAATGCATACCTTTTAATCAGCTTCAACTTTCCAATAACAAATTATCTTGAGTTTGGGGAAAATCAGTTTGATGAGAATTATCATTCTCATCTACAGTATTTACTGATAGTGGTGTTCACAGGTACCACCAGCAATCTTTACTGTCAAATCATCACGAGCTTCAGACACAAAATCCAGCTGGCTTTCCTTCTTGCTATTTTTTTAAAAGTAATATTTTAAGCTATGTAATTTGTTTTGCTTACTTTAATCTGTGCATGGGTGTGCATATGAATGTTGCCATGATTTATAAAAACATAACGATGATCAACCTTTTGTATAAAAAAAACCAAATGTCTTACCTGCAGTGTTTGTGAGATCCTGTTAGAGTTTCAATGACAAAGCATTCGCCTTCGTGAAGACAGTATGCAAGATCCTTATCCTTGCATGGCTTAAAGTGCTCAGATTGTTCAATGGAATATGTTGTGGTATCTAGAGAAGAAGGAAAAAACAGAATGAAAGAAAAACACATTTTAATACAATGGATATTATTCCCACTGGCCATCAACTTTTACTTTTAAAAGACTCAGCTAGGAGGGTTGAGTTGAAATTGAAATTCATCAGCATTCATCTAGATTTCAGAATAATTACTGTATTTGGAGATGCCAGCCAGTTACAAATCCATCTGGTAGTGATGCTATCTATCTCATTTTTTTTCTAGCTTGCCAAGAAGTAGGTTGAGGTTTACTTTGTCGAATGCCTTGCTGAAGTCTAAGTATATTATGTCCATAGTATTTCACTGGTCTACCAATTTAGTCACTATGTTGAAGAATGAAATAAGATGGGATTGGCATGAGATGCATTGCTATTTTTATTTATTTATTTGTTTATTTGTTTATTTATTTATTTATTTATTTTGTCAATTGCTTACAAGATAACAGGTATAAGTATAAACATAGTTATGAATCCATGAAATGGATACGTATAACAAAAATAAAAAGAAACAATAGGACAGGGGTGGTAGGCACGTTGGTACGCTTATGCACACCTCCTACAGACCTCTTAGGAAAGGGGTGAGGTCAATAGTAGACAGTCTAGCGTTAATGTTTGTGGGGTTTGGGGATATATTAAGGATATACCCTCAGGTCTATGGAAAGAAATAGGAGATTCTAATTTTCCCTGATCGTAGTTCCTAGTACAGATTCCATAATGTTTCTTGAAGCATCGTAGAACATAGAACAATAGAGTTGGAAGGGACAAGGAAGATCTTCTAGTCCTTGCTTAGGCAAGAGACCCAGACGAATGGCTATCCAGGCTCTTCTTAAGAACCTCCACTGATGGAGCACCCATAGCTTTTTGAGGCAAGCCATTCCACCGGTGAATTGTTCTCATTGATTATTGTTCTCGTTATGTAGTTAAGAAACAGAGAGATGGTTAGGTCAACATCAGTCACTGGCTCTGAAAGCATGGCGGGGAAGTGGAACAGGAGAAGCTTGCATCTACTAAAGTTGGAGCACTCAGTTGGTATTGTCTACTCTCTGAAGTTTGAATCTTCCTGAAGTTTCACATTGAATAAGATGTCTGGCTCTTTCACATTTAATGCATGAGCTATTACACTCACCATCTCCTCATTTTCATCTCTATCAATCAGAATGTGAATTTTCCATATAGAATCATGAAATATAAGACAACTTGTGAGGGTTTCCTATTATTGGAAGGAATCTTATTGAATGTCAGCTGCATAATAATTAACTCTGGGTTGATTTCTAAGGCAGCAGAGATGTCATCTTTTGAAACTCAGTAGGTATTGATGCCAAATCCTAGAGACATGCTTAAAATGAGTCATTAAGACTCTAACTGATTCCATCTCATCTTCACCTATTAATTTTATATTTACAGTTTCCATCTGGCTGACAACTGTCATGGATTTCATTATTTCCTGGTTGGAGAGACCCTTCTTTTTTTCTGCTAAGCATTCCTGAATCATGACTTCTTCTATATTCCCAAAATTGGAAGCAATTATTTCCATTAAAACATTAATATGCCGGGTTTCTCCTTGCTTCCGTTCCCACCAACAAAAATGAATTAGGTTTGAAGATATTAGGATAATATATAAATATTATTGGATGATAGGTAGCTAGGTAGGTAGATAGATAGATAGATAGATACCCTGTTTCTCCAACAATACGGCCTCCCCCAATAGGAAGCCCCAGCATGTTTTATAGGCATGAAATGAAATTAAGCCCCTCCCCCCAAATTAAGGCCTATATTAAAACATGCGAAATGGGGGGGAATGGTGGGGGGGCTTGCCGTTAGGAAGTACTTTTGTGGCACACCCGGATATGGTGCTGCCTGCGTTGACCCCGATACGAAGTGCCCCACCAACGCCGAGGTCAACATCCAAGCCGTTGCCACCCGCCCACCCAAAGATGCAAGGGGGGGAATTAAGTCACCCCCGAAAAGACAGCCTAGCCATTTTTTCGGGGCTCAAAAAAAAATAAGACCCGGCCTTATTATATGAGAAACACGGTAGATAGATAGATAGATAGATAGATAGATAGATAGATAGATAGATAGATAGAACATGCTTTCATAATTGGAATAGGATGGAAAGAAAAGAAAGCCTCTTTGAAAATTATTTACTTTGAACTTTCTTATTCTAAGTTTTGCAGCCTCAGAACAGTTTCATTGTGTATGTCTCAGTGAGAGCTGGCCTGATCATCATTCTCTATTAAATCAATATTATTCTTCAGGTTGAAATAGCCTTTAATTATCCTTTATCAAAACACCACGGTGCCAAATGTTGATACATTGCATTCTAATTTTAAAGCAGATCTTTTATACCACTGCATAGATAAAATACAGTACAATAATGGTCCCATTTAATTAGATTACATTTCCTCCAACAGCTTTTTTTGATAGATACTCTACTCATCGAAGAGAATATTGCAGTTCAGGGTTGAAATGTGCTTTCTGAGCTTGATGTTTTTCCTGTAGACATTTTATTATCAAACTCGGCAACATCATCAGTGCACTGAGGATGTTACCTAGTTTGGTAATGAAACATCTGCAAGAAAAACGCCAAGCTCAGAGAGCACCAAAGACCCCACAGATATTCTATGATATTTCTGGAGAAAGGGAGATGATGGAAACCCAGCTCCTGGCTATAAGAGATAGCTCCAAACATTGGAAGCGCCACTATTGGCAACATTCTCTAGAATTCCTTCAAATATAATGCAGTGCATTCTGTTCTATCAACTAGACATCCACTGGAGATGAGCAAAAGATTAAGCATTAAAGTTCAATAAAAGTTATTTATTAAGAAAGTGAAATTGCCAGCACCTTATTCTAAAACTATGCTTTATAAAGTGGAAAAAGGCAGAGGAACAAATGAACCTGAAATGCATTGGGACTTTCTCTCTTTACCCTTTTATGAGTTCTTAGAATCAGCTTTTCACTATTACTGCAGATGAATGTGGTTTCTTGTGGAGATGGATGGATGGATATACCGTATTTGCCGGCGTATAAGACGACTTTTTTGCCCTGAAAAACATGCCTCCAATTGGGGGGGTCGTCTTATATGCCGGCAAATAGTAATTGGGAAGCACTGCGGCTGCCCGCGACTGAGGCACTTTTGCGCACCGTGGAAACGAATCCCGTGAAGCCGAAAGGAGCAGCCAGCCTTCTCCCAACTCCCAAGGAAACGAGGCTCGCACCGCCCGAGCTCCGCTGAGGTATCCGGCTGGGGCTGTCAGGAGTTGTTACCGCTGGCGCGGCTCCGCGCGGCTCCAGTCCCGCGTTGCCTCGGGAAGGGAAAGGCAAAACCAGGAGCCACTGCTGCCATTGCAAAGCGCCGCCGCGGCTCTTCCTTTTTGCCTTTCCCTTCCCGAGGCAACGTAGGACTGGAGCCGCGCGGAGCCGTGCCAGCGGTAACAACTCCTGACAGCCCCAGTCGGATACCTCAGCGGAGCCTGGGCGGTGCGAGCCTCGTTTCCTTGGGAGCTGGGAGAAGGCTGGCTGCTCCTTTCGGCTTCACGGGATTCGTTTCCACGGTGCACAAAAGTGCCTCAAAAAAAAAAAAAAGTGCAAAAGTGGAAGGCGTGCAGAAGAGGGGGCGAGTATATAACAAACTATATTTTGAGTGGAAATGTTGGGGGGTCATCTTATACGCCGGGTCGTCTTATACGCCGGCATATACGGTAATTTCTTTTCTCCGTTAAATGTGCTCAGAGCAGATTTGAACTAATCCACTAAATAAAACTAAGAACAAAAAGTAGGGTGACTGGGTAGTTCATGAGTAATGCTCATCCTCAGATTTCCTTCAGTTCCCCAACCTTTGTGGCCTCTTCCAAGGGCTGTATAAAATTGATAGGCAAGCTCATCAGCCTTAGCTTGAAATCTCTCTGTGTGTGTCAGTATTTAATTCTGAGCATTATAGTGTGTGTTGTTGTTCCTATAGCACTTGCTAGGAAGAAAATGTGAATGAATCAATAAAGTGAATATAATAATGTAAGTCCTTGACTTATGACCACAAGCGAGTCCCAAATTTCCATTGCTAAGCAAAATGTCAGCCTTGGAAGCCATTGTTCAATCGGAAGCTTTGAGGCTGCCACATTCAGTGCCTGGGAATTTGGGAGAGGGATTTCATAGTGAGGTGGAAGACTAGATACAACAACATTCTTTCTCAGAGAGTCAAGGACATGTTGCCCTGCACCTGGAGGGGAGTGACTGGAGGAAGGTCTCCAGTTGGGAAGAAGTTGTGCCGTGGTTGTGCCGTGTGATGGACTGGTGGGTGCAGGGGATAGGTCTTTGATTTCTCTTTTGGGAAGGGAAAACCTGGAACTTTCAGATTCAGAGTTTCCCAGATGTGCCAGTATGACAACTCTCATAAATTGGAACATTGAGGGATTGTTTGTCTCAAAATTTATTGGTTTGGGGTTGGTTAGTTGGAACCAGGGGTGGAATTCTACCAGTTTTCACCTATTTGCTAGAACTGGTTGTTAACATTCTAAGCAGTTCAGAGAACCGGTTGTTAGAAGAAATTACTGGCCTAATCCTGTAAGGAAGGCAGGAAGGAAACATTCTGGTGTTGCTTACAGAAACTGCCTCTCCGTTAACCCTTATTACATTCTTGGCAGGACTAGACTTCCTGTCTCAGGAACTTCTCTGGAGTTTTTTCCCCCTCCTTTTCTGTACTTTGCTTGTATGGAGTGACCATTCAAAGTTACAATGGCACTGAAAAAATTGACATGACCATTTTTCACACTTATGACTGATGCAGCATCCCCACAGTCATGAGAGGCCAGGCGAGGAGATGCGTGCCTCAATGTGAGTGATATTGAGTTGGCCACACCTAGCCAATAACATGACCACTAAGCCACGTCCACCCAGTCACATGACCATCAAACCACGCCCACCAACTAAGCCATGCCCACAGAACCAGTTGTTAAAAAATTTAAATGCCACCTCGGTTGGAACGCTGACACAAGGCA